TACTAAAGAAGAATCGACTCTATATTTTTTCACAGAATCTGTAAATATTTGATACGTTAAATGTAAGATTGCGTATACGATACACGTGTAATTCCACGTCTATATATATAATCGAAGTCAAGATAAAAAATATTGCTGGAGACAAGAGAAGAAATCAAGCAATTTGCATAGGGCATAAATATTTCAATATCAGTGGGGGCGTTGTAGCGCTCCCCCATGAAAACCGCCTCTTTTACTCCACCCTACCTATTCTACCGTAATTGCGGCGTGTCCGCGCCGCAATGTCTTATTTCAAATAAGCAATCGATAAAATAAATTATAAGCGAGCTTGGGAAATATGTTGCTGGCGTGCAGGCGCTGCTGAATCACACGATAATTGCTACATTATTGTTACCGCATAATTTGGAGCCGGATAGAGCTCCAGCCCAGCGTCGCGGCGCGACCGCGAGCGACGCTATTTTCGGCGGCGCGGAAACAAAGATAATTTGGACAACGCGCGAGTGTTGCGTACTGCGACCTGCGACCCGCATTCGAATCGCCCTTTAAATAGCGATTTGTCCCCGGCTCGGGGTGTCGCGCAAAAGAAAGAGAAACGCGAGAGGACACGTGCCGCACGTGACGCCTCTAAAACGTGCGTCTAGAGGCCGGTTTTCGCGTCACGACGCACAATCGACCTGTTGAATGGAAAGCTTATCATTAGCAGTTTTACGCGAGCGTAAACCTTGACGGCAGTTCGTCGTTCCGATTGCACGATTATTTAACAACAGTTGTATTAATCTCGTAATGTTGCATTTCGCAGTGCGTTCCGCGTCAAACGTGGTTTATAGTCTTCGAGCGAATTTGATGGGTCTTAAGACGCAGGTTCCACACATCCGTGTATTTTTATTCGTATATTTCGTGGCCCGACATTTATAATCATCGAATTCGTGAATTGCTGGACTAAAATAATTGCTTTTAATAATTGCTCATGATATATTGCTTCGCTAAATCGATTAAGAATTCGTTTCTTCGCTCCTCTCAATCGTAATGTTTTAACTACTATTTAGCGTATTTAGAGAACAGAACGCGCCGTGTAAATTCAAGATATTATTTCCTTTTGCTAAACCTTTCATTGTCTGGTGATTAAGCATTTACAGATGTAAGCGTCAGTTGCCGGCGCACGCCACTCCCGTTACGTTCGCCGACACGCGGACGTTTCTGACTGCTCTTCCATTAATTGTCGAATTACGTTCCTGATTGCGGTACTAGAAGCGAAGAAAATTCAAGGAGCGCCAAATTGCGCAACCTTAATCGGCCTCTGGACTCGCGAACGCGGAAACAACCGCGGGGGGAGCGATAAATGAATCGAGGTCGGCGGCGACGGCGCGGTCGAGATCCGAATCGCCCTTTAAATAGCCACGCGCGGAGGGTTGGCGAGGGCGTGAAAAAAAAAGGAAGGAAAAGACAAGAAGAGGGAGGGAAAAGAGAGAAAAAGAGAGCGCGGGAGGGCGATGCACATACACGCGCGCGTACACACGGTTCACGTGGCGCCTCCAAAGGCATTTCTCGAGGTCGCTTCGCTCCGCCGGGGTCGACCTGATGAATGGAAACGTCGGTATTATTGTGTTTACACGCGGGACACACGGGTGCCTCTCTCGCCACACTTGGCGTGGAAACATTCCATTCATAAAGCGTTCCGCGCGTTCCTCTCACCGCCGCGCCGTGCACACCCCGCCGTATGCGGCCCACACGTATGCACATGCACACACGCAGACACGCAGGCACGAGGGTAGGGTACGCGACCCTCTGCCTACCGCGCGCGCGGGGGTTGACACCAGTGACGTATTCAGAATTTCGTTGCCGCGCCGCGCCGAAGGGTGGCCCCGGCCTGCCCCGAGATAAAGCCGCGCGGAGATTTCCTCGGCGCGTGATAATATACCCGGCACCCTCCCTTTACTTTCGGGGCCGAAAATAATTCCTCGCTCCATTACGCGGGGGAAACGGTGAGATTCTCGACGTGCCGCCGCTCGCGTATACGCGCGCCTATATAACGACGAGGAGACTTGATTATTATTAAAGATCTGCGAATTTTTGCTTATCGTCGCGAACTCCCGTTCCTCCTCTGATCCGTGTCTACCTTTTGACTACTTGATCCACTTATATTAATTTCTCACGCCGAGTTAACTCATACGCCCAGGCCGAAAATAAACGAAAAGCTACGTAGGTGCAAAGAGTATTTATCATCACGTTTTCTCTCCTTCAGTATACCTAATACATTTAAACATATAACATCTGCTTAAATGTTATACTTATCATCATCCCTTCTGTCTTTGTGATATATGACAGATGTAAAACATGAACATTATTATTCTTGATGTTATTCCATTTTCACTTCTCACTCCATGCTTATAATCTCTTCCTACAGTCGTGATGCATTTGCAACTATATAGAATTATTTTCTAAATTATTTCCCAACGAGAGCGCAAGAGAATACGCGAGATAGGAGGGCGTGAAATTTTCGCGGGGACAGGGGGAGGGGTGAGAAAGGCCGGCGCGCAACCACTCTTCCACGTTACTCGTAACACATCGCGGTAATTTATAACGACAGGTGTTCCCGGTCTGGTCCCCCTCCAGGCCCCTCGTCTACCTCTACCGAGAAAAGGCGTCAACCGTAACGCCGCCAGCCCTCGGCTGGCGATGGCAGCAAAGGAATGCTCTTTTTCGTCGCGTGCCTCATCTCAAAGTCTTTAAACTGAATGATCACGCATGCGATCCTGTCGCCCTTTCGCTTCTTTTCATACTCGTGTCCGGCGCCGAAAGCACCGTGCGTCAAAATTGTGGAATGCAAGTCGCATTCCGCTCGATCCTCGATCGCGTGCGTCTGAACTAGTGCTGCTCTGCATTCTGTGAATTTTCATATAGATTTTGAACGTACGCGATTTGAGTACGCGCGTAATGCTCGAAATATATTCGCCGAATATACCGTAAAATTCCAACATTCATTAAATATAATCTAAATTAGATATATTTGGCATATTTTAAATTTAATTTAAATTTTGTGATCGATATATGCTAAAAATAACAAGGATTCTTTCAATGCTTTAGGACATCAATGGAACGTAACTCGTGTATTTGAATTCGAGACCCAAGTGTTTGAAACATTCATTGACCAGAATGATCTAACCGAAAATACGGGGCGAAAGACTAGTATTTATATTTAATATATTTCTCAAATATTAATTCGGATATTTGGAGAGAAGCCGACGTTTCGATTATTCGTCCAATCTAAATGTAATCTGGATTTGTCGGGGGCTCATCGGATGAAGAATCACGACGCGGCGGTCTGAGAGAAATAGTTTATAAAATCCCGTAAGTCCTTCATTCGAAAGCCAATTAAAGCG